GAGCCCGGCAGGCAGGAGCAGTCCGCGGGGTGAGCAGCAGGCCATGCGCCGATCCCTCTGGCATATTGGCTTCAGAAAAATAACACTGCATTTAAAAAGTGGTCAACAAAAAAAAGAGAGATGTGCTTGAAATTCTGCTAACAGTGCGCTTCTAACTGCACAACCGAACTCCGTACACCAGCAGCCTTCTACAGCAGCATAAAACCCAGGACACGCTACAGAAGTTACCATCACTGATGTTAGGAGAGAGACAATTACTTTAAGAAACTTATTTTTAGATTATATTCAGAAACAAAAGTAAATTATGAATACACTCCGAGCAGTTTGTTGGGTAAAATAGAACAGAGGAAGAGCATTTTTTCCAATTCATTTTTCATTTTACGGAGAAATTTTAAAAAAATTTTAGAAGAACTGACGTTTATCACGCCAAGTGTCTCCTGTGCAGAGACACGACCTGCCCAGCTGCTGCTCTCTCCCTCGCGACGACCCCTTCTCACAGCAGGCCCCGCCGCACAGACGCCAAGCCCCTCGCTCCAGCCGGCGCAGCGCCCAGGCACCCTGCACAGACACCGAGGAATTTCATTCCAGGACAGCAGAGCTTTGCTCGTCTAATTCAGCGAGGAGTCCCTCGTCTGAGCGGCGAGAGAGGAAAGGGAGAAGGCCCCAAGAGAATAAAATCCATATATTCAAAAGAATAGTGCATAAGCGCATGGCTTGCTCCCCTAAGAAGGTATTTTCCCAGTCTCTGGGAGAGAAGAAACACGAGTTTTTTCATTTGTTCTCAGTGTGATTTTGGTGAGGCAAGTACAGACCAGGAGATCTGAGGCCTCTCCAGTACTGTACCTAGAGAGATAAACAAAATTCCTAAAAAAAGAGTCCCTAGCCCCACTTGCACAAAGGGTAAGAGACTGGTCCCAGATTTAGCAAGAGGAACAGCAGGAAGGACTCTTCCTGGCTACTGAAAACTACATGCTGTTCTCGGAGCAGGCTGGGAAAGGGAAGCCAGATGGGACCACCACCACAGGGTTAACAGCCATGGCTGCGTCCCTGGGTCGTGCCCGCTGCAGCCCAGCTGCCTGCACTGCTCATCAGCACGAAACCCGTGCGGGCAGAGCAGGAGCCTTCCTGCTTTTCAGGGTACCTGGCACGAGGGACTGCAGCGATGTGCAGAGGCACCCGCAATTCAAGAGGAGCTACAAGGCGGCAGACCTTAGCGCTGCGAGGTCTACGAACTGCTGGGGACATTGAGAACTTCCTGATGGGGGCTATGCCCTGGGGTTGCTCTTCAAGGTCCACGATGGCCCCTGAATATGCAAAGGGTGAGGGAAGCTGCCCCCTTCCTCCTCTGAAAGGCTGACTGCCACCGTCCATCCAACCTCAAAGGCTAGGACCAGCCTACACGCAGGGACTCTGGGCTCCTTGTCCATCGTGAGTGACTCCTCCTCCTCCCATCCCAGAAGAAACAATCTGGATAAAAACGTTGCCCTTACAACTTGACCTCTGTAACTCGTCGTGCATATGAAATGCTGAATAAAAAACTTCCTACCGCATTTCTCATGAAGACATATGGTAGGTGACTCGCCCAAGAGGAAGGTGATTAACTTACCTCTGCGGAAATGCATGTAGCATTCAGAACAGTCAAGAGCCCTCAACATACTTGGTAAGCTGAAAATCCCATATTGAACAGAATAGGGTTAACAGGGTTTAACAGAAGTGATTGCTTGGGAATCCAAGCACAAATTCAAGTTATCGCTGTGTACGCAGTGGACAGCAGTCCAACCGATATCTATTACCAACTCACTCTAAAAAAAGTTACACACTACAAAACCATCTCACTGCTTGCAGCAAATGAGCTTGAATGATTTCCTAGTAACAGGCCACCACCTTGCACTGTTAAAATGTGAGGTTTCACAGTATAAAAAAGTACTTCACAGAAAGGAAATGCAGCTAATATAGAAAATGCAATCTTGATGCGTTTACAGTCATTTTTTACGAGGCAGTATTTTTGGGAAAGCAAGAACAATAGAAATTAAAGCAGCCAGTGAGAAATGTATAGAGTTATAGGCCTCAATTCAGTGCAAAACCAGACTAATAGCTTATGTAAGTAAATGTTTGTTCTGAATAGAGAACCACCTGAATTAAAAGTAAGAACACCCATGTAAAGTGATAGAGACCCCCACAATATCCAGATCCTCCACAGACATCGTCAACCTTTTGAGTACACTCCAGAATGGACCCTTTGTAAAGGCAAAAGAAACCAGTACAGGAAATCACTTTGTACAGCACAAGATATACATAAAGTACCAAAATGTACACACATTCAAGTTTAAGTTAGAAAAGGTGGAGCTGAATCTTCTGGTGAGAGAGGCCTACATTACGTTGCTTAATCTCACATTTAAAGTGGCCTAAAAACTACAAGAATCAAAGAAAACAGAATATTGTGTCTGCTTCCAGAAACTTAAGCTTTAAGCAAGGCATCGAAATTGAGCGGTAGGCACTGTAACAAGACACTACCTTACCTTTTCTCTGTTAGTCTTTGTTACTTTGTTATCTATTTAAAAATTACCATTCAAATGAAATATCAGGTATCATTCACATTCAAATATTTAAGACTCAGAGATTTTTTTTTTTTTTTAATCAAGCAAAGTTTGAAACTTAAGCTTTAAGCAAGGCATCGAAATTGAGCGGTAGGCACTGTAACAAGACACTACCTTACCTTTTCTCTGTTAGTCTTTGTTACTTTGTTATCTATTTAAAAATTACCATTCAAATGAAATATCAGGTATCATTCACATTCAAATATTTAAGACTCAGAGATTTTTTTTTTTTTTAATCAAGCAAAGTTTTTCATCTCTGAGGTAGATGACAATAAAATAAAAAAAAAAAGGAGCTGTCAATGAACACTAACAAGTGCTGGGGCTCCTCTGCCGGCACTGACGCACTGCAAGGAGGAGAGAGCAAGCCCTACACCACTATCTGAAACATGAGAAACGTGTCTTCTGGTTTAGTAGCTTCTACAGAAATGCAACACAGAAAAAGCAGAGCCAAAATTACACTGAAATGGCCTTGGAGAAGAACTTCCACTTCTGCTTCGCAAGCTACTCAGAAAATGGTGGAAACATGCCCAGGTCAGCAAAATCTTCAATGTTGTAATTGCCAGTACCCTGCGTCGGATCGCCCGGCATTGGCAGCATGTCCTGCACGATAAGGAAAAATCAAAGTGAAGTGTCACTTGCTAGCATGTTATCCAGACACAAACTGTTTCCTGTTCATCTTCTCAGCGTAAAACCAGGAAAGGCCAAAGGCTACATAAACAAGGCGAAAACCAGACCTGTGCAGGGGGCTGGGCTAAGGTTTATGTCCTACTTTGGCTTTGCCGGAGCGTTTCTGAACGGGAGGTGGGACTTTAGCAGGGCAGAAGTTTTGGATTGCTCCTCTGCATAAGGCACGTTTGAGCTGCCCCGTACTCCTCCCAAGCTGAACCAGCCCCCCTCGGAATGGGTAGCTACACATGCAGAGAGGCAAACTCTCTGGTTTTACTCTGTGGGAAGGATTCAACATCTCACACACTCCTGCACCCTACAGAAAGGATGGGTTTGGGGAGGGTCTCACCTCCTCACCAGCGCTCTGGAAGTGAACATATTACTGCTCCTCATCCTCTGAGGAACACTACAGACTGGACACCCACCCCAGCTAACGAGGTGCCCAAGCAGCCTTCATGCATGTTTACAAAGGCAGAGGAAGTAGCAGGAACTTCTCAGGAGAAATGGGATTTCATGGTAATTGCTCCCACGTGTCTTCAGCCAAGTGAGGTCCCTGCAGGAGGCTTCAAAAAACACTCAACCTTTCCTCTCAGCCGGAGACTGAAGCCACAGGGAAAAGATATCCCTTGCTGAGAAAACCAGAGCGTATGCTTGCTTTTCCCGTCAGTCCTTACAATAATAAGCTCTTACTGCAAAGCCAAGTTTTGCCAAGGATGGCTCATTATTCTTACAATAAACCAATATCTAAAGAGCAAATAAGAAAGGTCACAGGATCTGCTCTGTGCAGGAATAACTACTGAGAGCTGCTGTGTACTGAGAAGTTACCCCAAAATAAAGACAGATTAAAATCAATCTGAGGTCTCTATAGCATCCCTGTTGATGGTGGTAAAGGAGGCTGTGAACACAACCAGCAGTTTCTCTGCTGCCAGAGTCAGCCTTAAATTTTCTGACCAAAACTTGCACTTATTTTATGTTTTCCCACGTTCTTCTGCAGCCAAGAGGAAGTTGTAGATGCCCCCGCCTGTTATAATTTCCATGTCTGAAGGCATTTCTGCTACTGAGACCTCTGAGACACGGTCTCCTCAGGTGCAGACCTGGCAGGGCAGCTCCCCTCTTTACTCTGCCTCTCTCCTTATGTCCAGCTAACACAGGGCTGGCTTCAGGCTCAAACAGTCCAAGCAGCTTCTTGCTGGCCTCTGAACTGAGCTCGTCCAAGTTTCCCGTCACATCCAGCTATTATCCCAGTTCCCTCCAAATGCACAGTCACCTCCAAGAGCTCTGCAGGTGAGCCCAGTTCTCCCTTTCTCCCTTGGCCCTCCTTACCACTAATTTCCTAAGATGTCCACCGGGACACAGTGCTTGCCCGAGACACAGGCACGGTGCCTGGAGCCCTGTGTCTCTGCGGGCCATCGAACCACGCTGCCACCAGCTCCACCGGAATTACCCTGGACATGCTCTTGGGTTAAAGTACGTGCAAAGTGATTAAACTTCGCTAACAGAGAGAGACGCCACAGATTAATCTTGCCAGCGCCACGGGGTGGGAGCGTGCAGACAGGTAGTTATCCCAGATGTAGTCATGTTATTTGTTCCTCGTTAAGCAATGGTTTGTTCACACAGGAATATTTTCAGGCTAAGGTCTCTTCTGCAGCGCTCCTGCAAGCAGCTGAGCACCAGCCCAGTCTTGCAGGTGAATTTACTTTCTAAAAGATAATGAGTGCCCCACTTCTAAACCTTGCTTGGGGCTTGAACTGTCTTTTCTGCACTTATCTGCATTGTTTTGTTGCAAACTGTCTTCTTGATCTACTTTAAAAACAAGTTATACAAGGACAGAGATTTTATTAGTTAACTCTTAAAGTCCCACTCCATCTCAGCGAAGGCCCAAAATTACACTTAATATGACAAAATCAGGTAATTGAAGATGATTGTTTACCAGCTATCTGATATCTGACTGGGTTTAACCTTAAAAAATTATTGGCCAGTATCTTCTATGCAGTATCAGACTCCTCTCCTGCCTGAGCTATCAAAGAGAATTACATTGATGTCTAATTGGACTTAACTGAGACTTCAGAGGCCAGTACCAGGATAAGAAAAACACTCTATCTGGGACTATTTGATGGCTTCCCTGCAAAACGCACAAGTTCTAAGTATAGGGTGCAAAGCGAAGGGAAAACGCATTTTAAATCAGCATATACTCTGTTCTTGTCAGAAAACAAAACCATCTCAGCTGTAGCTAATGCCAGCTAATAGCAGTGCAAACCTACGGCAGCACGCAGCAAGAGGTAATGGCTCCAGGCTCTGCCAGCACCCTGGTCATCGAGGGCCACGGTTCCTCAGCTCAGCAGGGAGAGGCCACGAAAGGGCCTTGGGGCTCCCTGAACTCTCCTCACCTGGAACACCTCGGTCTGACTGGGCTGCGGGTGCGAATGCTGGTCGCCACTTTGCTGGTTGTGATGTTGGCTCTGCCACTGGGACCAGACTTCGGAAGGTCTCCCCTGGAACTGGCTGCTGCTCTGCCCACCTTCAGCTGGACGGGGGGAGAAAGGGCAGAAGTCAGTGAGCAGCTCCTTCAAAATGCCTGCCTGCTTTTGAGGCTTCATCCACCAACGCCCGTGTCAGAAACAAGGCCTTGACTGCCAGCCAGCCCTGTAGGGTGAAGCCAAAGGGAGTTTCAGCCCGGACTGCAGGATGGGAGCCAACCCCAGAGCAAAGCTCGCAGCAAATCGCACAGTGACACCACAAGCCAGGCACTGGAAGACAAGTTTTCAAGCATGCTCCCCCCTCCCCCTTTTTATTTAGTCACAAAGAAGGAATATTGGCCATTTCACTTAAAAAACAAACTGCATCTTCTGAATGCTCTTTCTCTTTGGAAGACTCATTCTTGCAGAGCAGTGGGTGCAGGGTTACCGACTCATCTAAGCAGCACGTTTTCCGATTTTGTGAGCAGATGTAAAAACAGTAAGATCAACAGACAACAGCCCTGCTGAATTAAATGCAGACATTGCTGTATTAAATGCAGAATGTTGTTTGCTGGACTATTTTGTCCTCCAATATTACAGCTGCAAAATGATTTATTTAACATGCATCTTACAGCAAATTATTATCCTGTTCATATGGTGATGGTTTCTTAAAAGTCTGAGGCCATTTAAATTCCACAGAGTAACGTGAACAGCAAGGTTTTATGGTAAATACACTTAGAACGATGATTTTAGGGAGATGGGTTTCTTCTAAATAGTCTACCAGAAACAAACATGATGCCACACACATTAATTTGGTCACCTATTACACATGCACTTTTCATGGGCACAGCCACAGATCACACTTAAGCTGGACTCTTTTTACCCTGTATTTCTAGAGACTGGCCCCAAATGTTTAAAATTTGTAAGTAATTGAAGGAAAATTATCCAAAATGCCTCCTTCTAAGAATTAGAATTTTAGAAAGCTTGGCACCAGGCTTATGCTCCTCCTCCAAACTTTTTTTCCTGTTTTTTTCCTATATAACAACTCCTGGTTTTGCCTCTTTTTCCCTCACTGCAGAGAACCAAGCTGGGTAGATCAGGTTCTCTGCCAAGGATGCCAAATTGCCCGTGCCAACCTTCCACACGGGTGCTACGTCAGGTGTCCGAGAGCCAGACTGGATCACGTCAAACCAGTCACTACTCACAGTCATGGCTTCAGAAAATACAGAAACATGTGCTTAATCCAGTCCTTCTGGCTACCAGCTAAACCATGCAAAACAGTTAAAGTGAACATTTTACAGGAAAGTAAACAGGCTGCAGTGATGTATTTCTATCACGTCTGAAGTAGGTAATTACAGCTCTTCCCTTACTGACATTACCACAACCAGTAATTCAGCTGACTCAGAAACCCTGCAGCCATTTCATGGGTCAAAACAAAATTCATCTAAGTTACTCTTTAAAAGAAAGCTGCGAGTTTTGGGGTTTGTTTTGGTGTTTGGGGTTTTTTTTTTCAGAACAAGATAGTGAAATTAACTCAGTAAGGCAAATGATGCTTCTTTTCAGCAAAATGGTTACTGCCAGCCAGAGGTTCAAGACATTTGTCTCTGTGTTATTAATAGTATCCAAACTGATGTAGGTCAGGAAATGTTTCTCATTAGGTGAAAGGGTTCTTGCCAAGTAGCTTAGGCCTGAAATACAAGGCTGTCTCATAAACAAATGCACAAAGCGCGGTGGAAATGGAGGCACGAATAAGCTCTGTGGGCAGAGCTCCGTCTCCGTGCAGTTTTTCTAGGCAGCGCCGCGCAGGTCTGTGCTCCGTGAGGCTGATCTGCAACAGATCTGCCCTGAGTCTGTTCTCAAGGGACCAGAGCAAAACGGCACGCATTAGCACACTGCTACCTGTGCTTTTTGGAATTGCACATTGTTACCGGCCAGCAACAGTTTTCTTGGACTCTATGTGTGTTTATCAATGATGGATTCGAAATTTTTTTAATGTGGAGTATTAATCTGCTGGTGGAGTGCAAAAAACTTACCAAGGGGTCACCCACTGGGTCATAGTCTGAAAGCCACTAAATTAGCATGTAATAGGAAAAGAAAACCACTTCAAAACATGGCACCTACTCTGATGAGGTTAGTAGTAGTTGGGGTACAAAAAAATCCTGTCTCCAGCCAAACTCCAACAAGCCATCTCTGGGCAAGAGCACAGCAGCATGCAGTCAGGGAAGGTGAAAAATGAAAAGAATGTAAATTTGTGCCATTTAAGTGTTCTCCTGAGAAGTGAAAAGAAATTGAACCTGCTGACCATAATCTGGGAGGACGTGTAGTACTAGTGATGTAAGGAACTTCCTGACACCATTTACTGGCAGCAGGAGGAAAGCCCTCCTACCATAAAATGTCACAACATTCTGAAGTGTGTTGTGTGTGGAGGAGAAGCAGCACGGAGGGAACAGGTCATCTCGGTCCACTCTGTCAACAGGAGAAAGCAAAACCCTCTCAGCCCCTGGGCTTCCCAACTGACCCACCGAAATAATAGGTTGGAGGATTTTTAATGACGTTAATGCTGGAGAGTTTCATTTTTCTGTGCGTTTCTGTGTTATGGCATTTAGAACTTACCAAACCCGGCACTTCGGTTTGCTAAGCTAGAGTAGGCATTCCCACTCGGAGAAGAGGTGGCTGGGCTGGAAAGGGGGCTGTATGACGACGGATCGGCTGGATAGGTGTGACTTGTTCCAATCCCAAAGGGAGATGATTGAGCCTTGCCAGACTGAGATGGAATTTGCTGAAGAATAAGGGGTAAGAGAAAGAAATGAGTTTTATTGTTGAGGAACAGCACAGCAGGCTCACTTTTTAACAATGTAAAGTAAGGACTAAATAACCTCTGCAGATGTGAACAGGCATGTTATTCCTGTCTCAGCCATGTTTCATCTCTGTCGAAGTCAACTTATTGCTGCATAAGGAACACAACAGACTATAAACCAACACTTCCAGCTCTCCCGCTAATTAACTCGCACGTACTCAATATCCGAGCTACTTGGAAGAACATGACTTCCTTCACCTCTATTACAAGGATTAATCTCAAATTGAACAGGTATAAAGAATTCACCTTTATCTGCCAGGTGTTTTCATTTTGCAGTGCCACAGTAAAATCACGGCTATCTGAATGTCTTGCAGCACATATGCAGTTCTCAGATGACCAGTCTCCAGCACTTAGGGGTAAATGGTCAAAGAAGTTCCAAAGCTAATGAGCTGCTTTCTCTCCCTGCCTAAGAAGCACAGGCAGCAACATTATTTTGCCTTGTAAAAGGCTTGGGAAGGACTGTGAATCACCAGCCCTTGGGAAGACAGAAGAAACAGCCTAACTTTGCTTTAACCGGGTAGCTGAGTTAATTGAGGGGTATTAAAAACCACTTTGCTGTCATTTTCATCTACATAATGGCTTCGTCATAGGATCTGCAAGAATGTTACAGAAATGATTACACACTACAAGCCTGCTTTGAAACATGCACAACATGTACACTGAGACTAAGCCAGGTGAAGTGTCTCCTCCAAAGTCATGCGCTACAGCAAGGTATATTGCTACAGACAGAATCTGCTTACAAACCAAATCCAGCGGTCCCAAGAAAAACTCACTGCCTAACCAATTCCACGAATAGAAATTAAAGGTGATTACATCTCTGGATACTTCTAATGATGTGAGCTGTTATTTGCAATCAATGCATGCCAGTGAAGCTGTTCTCTTGGACAAACACAGGGGAGCTGCGGGAGGAGAACAGATCCCAACAGGCACATAACATGGTGAAGACCCTATTAAGACTATTAAGTCTTCAGCTCCATTCCAAGCTAAGAAATTGTACATATCTAAAGCTTTCCACAATGATGGTGAGGGCATGACATGGCACTTCTGCAAGGCTTAACTCTATTTTACTTTATTTACGATGGCTGAATGAATTCCCATTCATTCATTTTTAGCATCCTCCATATAATTAAAGTTTAATGTTACGACTGGATTTCATTAAACAGGTGTGACAGTAACCATGGCACACTGAGGGCTGGGAAGAATCAGTGATTAATGTGGAAACAATTCAGTTACCGAAAAAGTATTTAGTGCCTGCCCCAACATACCACTCTATCCTCCCAAACAATGGAAAGTCAAGAGTGATTAAGACCAACATTAATTATAGATCAAATGTGACTATTTTGCATTCTTTGTCTTTAACAGAGTTTCAAAACATGTTTTTTTATCGTTACACAGAGCAAGAGGTGATTTCTGGGCTAACCTTGCCAAGCGCAGGGCATCTGATGGAGGGATGCGCTGCTTTCTCAGCACACAACATGGTGTGAGCTACGCTGGGCAGTGCTAACAGGGGGGCAAGAGGCTAATTGGCCTCTGCTCTGAATTCATGCCTGGCTTTGAATGTGCCCCTTTCTTCTAATATTGCTCACTGTGGGTAACATCGCTGTGTGCCAGGCCTTGGCCCAAGCAAGATTCAATGCACGGCTGAATACTAAAGCCTAACAGCTGTCCTCTTCTGTTTCATTCAGGGCACATTTAAAAACAAGTGCAGGACCAAGACCTTCCACTGAGATTTATGTCAGCGTAGTGACTGCCACTGTTACAAACACTGTTACAAACTAAATGTAGTTTCGCACAGGGCAGCTGTCTCAAATTATTGTAACCTGCCAAGGAACAGAACTGGGGGAAGGGATTTCTCTCCAACCACAAATAATAATGACAAAGTACATTAATCATGTTACAAATGGGCTTTACTAATTCTTCTGTAAAAAGCACAGAGATTGCAAATCATTAATGACCATGAAAATCAAACACCTTTAATCAATACCTGTCCTGGAAACGGTGGGCGATTTCCTGTCCAGGCAACCTGACTCTGATTGAGCTGCCGAGATATCTGTGTCAGATTCTGGCCTGTTGATGAAGACGACTGGATGTCGTTCACACCAGGCACATGGACCACAGATGAACTAAAGGAACAGAAACAGTGCCTTATTTGTTGGATAAATCCTCGATGCACAAATAGTATTACTGATATGGAAATTTTGATAATTACATTAAAACTAATTGTTCAATCTGTCTTAATAAAAAAAATTACTTAAAACCATCACAAAACTATGAAACATATTGGCATTTTAAAATGCCAGTTCAAATAGACACAAAGGGCAAAATTATTTTTAATTCTATAAACTCTTTGAAAGGGCTTGCAAGGATAAAATCTGTCTAACACAGTGCATAAACATTAAGCTCCATCCTATTTTAGTACCTAATGCACTAAAAAAACCTGCTTGCAGAGAGGACTCAGGCAGGTACTTAATTTTCAATTTGTACTTAAAGTCAACAGTATTCAAGCATTTGCTTGAATGCCATCCTAAATGAAGATGCATAAAAAGATGATACTTGTAAGTACTTCTTTGTTTGTTTCCTGCCTGGGAAATAAAGAAGTGCATGCTAATGTTAAAAATTTGAACTTTTAATTTCTATTTTCACCAACTGATGCTAAAAAAGAACCTGCAGTTACATAGCCAGGCAACAGAATAATCAAGACAAAAACTTAAACTAACGGAATAGCTTTGGAATTAAAAAAAAAAAAAAAAGTATTTCCAAAGGAACTTGTTTCTGTTAGCTGTTTCCCAATTACTGAATTTCACTACATAGAAATTTCCCAGAAATTCCTAACTAGAAGGAAAATTTTACGAAGGACTGCTCCACTTTACCATTTTATTCTCGTGGAAGTCTTGAACAATTGAATCTATATCACCACACATTGTGAATGTGCTTGTATATATTTTTATATACAAGAATATAGATTTATTATTTTTACACATCATATATAAATGAATATAAATGAAGACACAACATATAAAAATGCTTTCACGCATCGACTGAAACAGCTTGTTCTTTTCTCCAATCTCTTCCCTATTGTCTGCTTTCACAATCATTTTACAGAGAAAGAAGAGAGCAGATTGGGAAAAGAAGTAAACAGGGCTGAGCAGAGAGGATGGAGGAATCTGAATCCTCCGAGAAGGCTGACAAAATCCCTCCCGGAGTGGTAAGCAAAACACGTCAGGCATGTGAATATGGGAGCTGTTATTCTGTCTTGCTTAAGCTGCCTAAAAGCAAAGGGTGTGTTTAGAAATTCCTTGTAGTGCTTGCTTTCTATTTTTTTTAATTTTATTTTTATTTTTTACTACCACAGAGTCTCCGAAGAGGGAAAAGTGGTCCAGAAAGTCCATTTAAATCCAGCTGAACTCGGAACAGCTGCTGGGAAGGGCTGGCCCGACTGCCAGCACCTTCTCAGCTGGACTGGTAAGTCCCATCGTCTACAGGGCTGCATCTGGCATACGTACTTTGAACCCTGCGAAACAGTGCCTAAAGTCTGCCCGGGCTCAGTGACCAAATGGACCAGCCTGGAGAGCATTCAGGGAGAACAGTTTGTCAAGGGTGGAAATGCTAGCAGATGTGTCATTACTTGATGTAATACAACAGCAGTAGGAAAAAAGCTATAGTTAAAACATCAGGAATTAACAAAGGCAATGAACAGAACACATGCCAGACCCCAAGATGGCAAGTCAATTATACAGTAACACACAATATCCAATTAAAAGACATTTTAATTTACTGTCATATACCTCCCCAAGTTATTCTTGGTTTTAATTTGACAAAACACACACATGAGGACTTTACTTCTCCTCACTGACACTATCAGCAATTATAACTTTAAGAACACATTGATTTAAATAAAATCATAGTTTGCAGATGTTTTCTAACACCTGGAACTGACACCCTCTGAATAAGAAAATCTTCCCTTTAATAAGGTGTCCACGCTGATGCCCTTCAGTGCAGCCATCAGCAGTACTGACAGCTGTAAGTGCAAAACAAATCTTTGCACCTTCCTAGGTTGGTTGAATGTTCCTCCGATCTCTGAGCCTGTCCCATCACCTCTCAGATTTTTTTCCCTTTATGATCTGTTGCTGCTTATTAGCTTCATCCAATTACATCACTGCAGCAATAAGCACCTACTCACCAACCACTATTTTTAACAGAGATATCCAAATCTTCACAGCTTGTAAGCCTAGTCCCAGTGCTGAGACATCATGTACCACTGAAGTGTACAGGAAGCAAAGTTCCTTCATGTAAGGAAAGCCCTTGCACCTTAGGTTGATTTTGTTTCCACCAGATCAAAGGGTAACAGTCCCCCACGCTCAGACAGAAACTGAGACATTCAGGATCTGGACTACAGTACCTGAAAGTCTTCCCCGAATGTCCTGGCTGAAACGGGCTTCCCTGTGAGTAAAGCTGCTGGTTTCCTGCCGTGGATGCCGACGCCATCATTTTTTTATCTGCTACAAAACAAATCACAGAAAGAGAAATGTTTAGGGGATGAGAAAAGAAAGGCAAAATTATTTAATAGGGAATTGCAATGTACATACGCCGGAGGGATTTTTCTTTCCTTCTTAAAGATTTATGAAGAAGCCCTGTGGAACACATTAAAAACGGCACAAACGGGCTATATGGCAACTCGGTACGAAACGAGAGGCACAGCTGGTTCGTGTCTACTTCATACCCTCTTCCCAGGACGTACCTCATTAAAGCTATTGTTCGCATGGAACATAACGCTGGTACGAGCCCTCCAGCCACGCAGCCCTGGCCGTCTCTGTGCCCGCTGGAAGCTGCTCCCGACCACGCTGGCAGTGAGGGGGAAGGGAAGCAGAGAGGGATGCGTGCGCGGGTCCCAGCTACAGACTGGGAAGGGGAACAAAGCTTTTCTGCAAGGAAGATGGGAGAGCCTGCCGGGGGGAATGGAGGAATGCCACAGGGAACAGGCCTGGTCCGAAGCAGGTCTGACGCACGTGCACCCCTGTGGCCTGCCCGGGGTCCCCTCAGGCCAGGGTACCTCGCTGGCTCCAGAAGCAGGCCTCCAGGGTTGCTGCTGTCATTGCAGCCTCTGTGCACTGCGGTAGCGGCTGAGGGCCCACGCCTCGACGGGTTACACACCCCAAGGAATGGCATCAAAGAGCCCCCGTCCTATGTAGCTGACAGCCTGCTTCCCTCCGGGGCAGCTGGAGAAGAGCACCCAGCTCTGCCCAGCAGAGACCCAGACCCACCAGCCTGGGCCACCCAGCAGACCCTGCCTCCAGGTCGGTCTCGCAGGGGGCTGGAGGCACTTTGCTGTCTGCCAGACCTGTGCACCTGAGCTGCAGCAAGGCAACATGCTGGTCTCCCACGGATTTTGCTGTCCTGTATGTGGCTTGAGGGAGCCATGAAATAGGATGCAAGCATCCCAGTGGGGCGTAAGACAGACTAGTGTAGTGAGTAACATGCACATGGAGATGCCATTAACTTTTATAGTCTACTCTTAATGTGGCAACCGGAGATCAATCGCTAATTGAATGAAACGTGATCGGGTGAATGATGCCATTTGGTCCCTTAATTTAATTTTCCGGCACTGGATTATTCCAAAGTCCAGGGAAACCTCACTACTACTACTTATCTTAAAATAATTTAAAGGTCTGCTCCACCACCCTTTATTCACTTTCCTCATTTTCCCTTACTACCTCCAAGTGCAAAACACCCCACAACTCGCTGATGGCTTTGCAACTGCTTGTCACTACACACCTCTGACAGGCCTAGAAATCACGTCTGCCTCCTCATTTTCCCCTTCGCTCTTTTCAGATTCCCACTCATTTCACAAGATGCTTTCCTGGACACAAGGACCACTCAACTCACAAGTAATACAAGTATTTTTTAGTTTATCCAAGCTTTTAGAGACCTTGTGAGCATGGCTCATCGGAGGCCTCCAACACACACCAACTCTTCTGTTACCTAAATTCTTATTATGCTGCGTTCCTAACAAGAACCTAGGCTTGCCTTCCCAAAGGAAAAAGTAATCTCAAATTACCTCACAGGAGCTTCAGAGAAGGAGCACATATGCCACTGATGCAAGCTGTCATTGCTTTTCCTCTGCAATGTAGAAATTTGTAGACATTCATCACTGGCTACATATTGCCCAGCACAGACACCAAGTCTGGGCTGCAAACCTACGCTCTCATACAAAAAAAAAAACCCAAGGAGAAACAGGGACAAGGTCTAGAGAAGGCTGCATATGCAGCAGGAAGAACTGAGAATGGGTTGGGATATCTCTGAGAAGGACGGATGACTTTCCCTTTTTTTGCTGTAATGTCACTCTTGCATGAGATCTCCCATTTTCTAAGGCCACCCTTTACAGGAATACAAAACTCTCAGGGTTGGAAGAGAGTCAAAATCCTGCAGGTACTTTAGATAGCTGAGAACAACTCACCAGCAAAACTGAGAGTGCCCTAAATGAACTCCAATTCCTCAAGCGGAGCAGAGCTGCCATGGCAGCTACCAGGGTCTGTGCCGCAGGACAAGGCCAAGACAAAGGGAACGCTAAACTAATCACCAGCAGCCAAACTGGCTTTAAAATCTCTTTCCCAAGTTACTTCAAATGCTCTTTAGCTTCTGAATCTGTACCACATCTCTCCCAGCTGTATACCCACTCAGGACTTTACACGTTACTTCTCTGGTCTCACCTTTGGTACAGCACTGAAAACCTATTTTGTTTTGGTGTTCTACCTGCATCCTTAGACCTGTTTCTCGCTACACCCCATCACTGTACTGGTCATTGATATGCCCTTCTCCCAGCAGGACCAGTGTTTCTGCCTGTAGAACAAAGATCTCTGTAAGAACTGCATCATCCCGTGCTTCAAGGCACTTGCATGAATCGGTGAAGCCAGGCTTCCTCTCCCCAGTTTTGTTTTTTAATTATGTGTGGCCACTGCATGCAATTATGGCAACAATCTCCCTATGTCAAACCTGTATTTTTACAGAACTTTGCAGAGCATGAGATCGGGTATCAACATAATGCAAATGTCTTGCAGGCGGCACGCAGGTTTGTCAATATTGGTTTTGGACAGCGTATCTCTTCTCTAACTGTGAACCATCTCTTTTTATCATTCAGAGAAGACCTTGATCACAGCTCCCATGAGAAATTCAGACAGGCTGAATGTCCCAAAAAAAGCACAGCCTGTAAATTGATAAGAATGAAAAGAGAAATGGCATTTCCAAGAACATAACCTCACAGCTTGCTAGACCCTTAACACTGAACCATCCCCACAAACAGTTGAGAGTTGCCTGAAAAAGAGCCAATAAGGCAGCCAAAAAGCAAGATGTTCTTGCTTGGAAAAACATATTCTGGTGTTTAGGGTTGGAGTCTTGCTACCTTCTAATGGACCCCTTTTATGGCCTCAGTTGTTGACTTCACTGTTAGAGTAGACAGACAAGTATGAACAAGAATAACAGAGAAGTCCTAGCAACAGGAGGACAGAATATCCAGTCTATCCTGCAGTTACAATGCCTTCTCCATTCGAAAAGGCCAAGCCAGACATAAGAAACCAATGCAGTGAGGTCATCTCCCAACTCCCCTGGAGTCAAACCCTGTGGGTCGTTTCCTTCATGCACTGCGTGACACTTGCATGTTGATTTATTTAAAACAAATGTAAAAACTTCTCTTTTTCAGTGAGGACAGTTAAGAACAATAAACAATTAATGAGTTCTTCCATGAGCAGTGGAATTAATGAGCATGGTTTCCTACAGATATATTTCGGATGACCCCTTCAGCTGCCACTCTCCTCAATGACTTCTGCCTCTTAGGGCAACAGGCAGCATAAGTTGGGGCTAGTTGAGTCACTCTGTCCGACTGACAAGTTGGCTGCTACCTCTTAGGAAAGGGCTGGGAAATCCTTTGGTGAGGGCATTCACTAAGGGCTCTGTCCTCACAGTAATTCTCATGACATACAGAAGAATATACTATTTCTGAGACTCCCATCACCCTTTTAAGAACTTGCCAGAAGTTCAAAAACTGTCGGAAAAAGAGCAAGGACTCACCAACAGGTAACATAACTGGAGATGCCTCAACTGACCAGAAAACAAGTATATTATTACACTTCAAGGCAGCATATACCTCTGAAAAGACCAATGCAAAAGCTGGAGATTTGATAAAAAACTGCATGTCTGTCTTAAGACTACACGGTAACTTTCTTGATCCATGTCTATTTAGAGAGAGAACTCACATCTGCTGTTTAAGAAGGAAAATATATATTCAGAAATGGCAAGTTCTGCTCAGTATGTTTAGTATCTACGAACACTGCTTAAGGTGCCCCTGTGAAATGAAAAGAGAATCAAAAATAGGTATCTCTGGTGACACCAAAGCTGTCTTTCCCTCTTTGAATTTACGCCTTATCATCTTTAGCAGAAATATCAACTAAAGGCAAATTCTAGGAAATGTCCTGAAGACTGAAGTTGCTTGGAAATGTCTCTGCCATGTTGTAGTTTCTCTTCATTCTCTCGAAGCTGTGCTCCACATCATGTAACCAAGCTTAACACAGTATTAAAAATTAAACATCAGAGACATTCACTTACAAGCAGCTATTCCAGCAAACATCTCGGCAAATCTAGGATCTCTCTCTTGGGAGAAGATAGCATCAGGCTTTTCCACAGACTTTCCACCCTCATGAACGTTAGTTGGGATACTTGGAACAGGCACCTGCGGAATACACAGAGGGAGGTAATTCCCTCCATCCTATCTAATGGAAAGGAATTCAGGGACAGTCACAATGTATTTTTAATTTTGCTGAAATCTGCCACTGCTTTGCATTTTAAAAGATCAGAGGTACAAAAATAAAAACTAGAGAAATTTCACCTGAGATAAGTCGTAGGATGACAGCCCATCTCTTTGATGTACTTCAAGTTCTGCTTGCTGCTGCTGAAGTTGTCTGCAAAGGGGATAAAACGACTTCGTTAAAAAACCCAATTAAGATACAAAAAGGAACAGCCATGGTGTTCTGTTTTATAGTCCGAGTGACACATCTCTCCAATGATTTAGTAAATCCTCTCCTATGAGATTCATCCGTTTTTTAAAGTTTTCTCATTGAGAAATCTTGCACCACAGGAATGTAACAGGGCACGGGAAGAGTTTTGCTGTAATAGCACAGAAGTGTAGGTAGGTAAGTAATGGAGGATGGAATACAACCTTCTTATAAAGGATTTAAGAATTCACTACTAAGACACCACCAATGTCTTCCTCATATTAACGATGAATATATCAGACCCCTTCACTGATCCTGCT